TTTCTAACTTAACAATTATATTCTTCATCCTTATAATCCCTATATTCATTTCAAGTTCATTCCATCATTCAACACGGCGGCAAAGATGAGAAGAAAAAAAAAAAACATCAATATACGACAGCAACAACCTCACACAAACTCGGGAAAGAAAAAAGGGCATAAACATTCCGGCACACAAACAGAGAGGGAGACAAGAGACTGAGGAGCGCACACACGCACACACACACGCACACAAACTAACAAAGAAACTCAGAATACACAAGGCCCAGCACAGCCAGAAGTCGACTTTATGCAGAAATATTCTAAAGTGTGTTTTACAATACAATTAAACATCAAAGGCGGGTATATTCCTCTGTGATCCTTCGCACCCCAGCGTACAAGCCCCATCCACCCTCGTGCGCACACACACGGGCACGCGCACAAGTACAAGTGCTCAACGTCACTGCTAATTACTCGATAGAGACTGAAGAAATCTATTCATCATTATGCAGAAAAGCGTCACATATTCAAATGTGTGCGTTCCATCCACCATAACCTCAATGATATTTGCTTAGGATGAGGACTTTTTTTTTTAAGACGGTAAAGCGATTGCTGCAGAGAAGAAAAAGAGAAAGCTTTAATGAGTCTATTCAATTAAATATGACGATAAGAAAAAGTACATAAAGTGCTTGACAAAGAGATGTGGTAAAAAAACAAGGGAAAGTAAACTTTTTAACTTCTGCTCAGTCAAAAGATTCTAAACATAGACTAAATTGCTTGATAAACAATAATGCATCCAGACAGTTTAACAGATCTAATGCGCTGCCTTTTCTAAGAAGTAAATATGATTTTCCAGAATTGACTTTTATATTACCGTCTCACTCTGAGCCAAAGGGCATGAAGTCCAATTACACTACTTCCAATATCTTACCGGCCCGATCTCGCCAACCTGCAATCTGCAAATGAGCGCTTTGCTGATTTTAACTGTGTAACTTGGGCAAACCCTTCTGAAAATATTTGAGACCATTAGTGGAAAGAAGAAACGTTTGAAAAGAAGGTGCTGGAAAAAATTGGACCGTTTAATCATTTGCTTAGACGTCAATTTTAAGGATTTAACATTTTTCAGATGTTTTATACAGATCTGGCAAGAAGTCATTTTACTGCACGACTTTTCTGGAACTTTAAACGCCTTATTTTTTCACACCTTTGTCTCGTCTTTGCCATTCTCAAACACTTGATTATAGACATTACACAGCATTAAGACTGTTCGGGCTTTTCACATGTGCGCCTCTGTCCCTCACTTAAGCAAAGCCTTCCTCAGCCCCCCGTGTACAGCAAAGTGCCCTGACAATCGGCTCAGGGCTGGGGCCAATCACAGCCACACGTGCCCTTTAAATCCCCTGTATGAAAGGGTAAGAGTGTGTTGCCACTGTTGCTTTTGTGAATCAGCGCCTATTATCCTCAATGATTTGTCAAGTGGGGGAAACGTCTTAAAACAAAAGTGTGTATGTGTGTCTTTTTTTTGGTTTTATGGTCAGGGGGCATAAGTTTGACATGAGTTTTGTGTGTGCACGTGAATGTGTGCAGGCGGTCCACATGCGAGGAGCGCTCACCTTCCTCTGAGCGGATTAACCTAACACTAAATCCCAAGAGAGCAACAGGCCAGACAGGCCACACAGAATAGCTTCATTGACCATAGGCACAAGGAGGCAGGCCAAGTGTCAGAGATGTCTTATAAACGTTAATGGACTACAACCACTTCAGGCGACAACTAACTAATTAGGTATTAGGAAATAATGGTATCAATTAATTTCAACTATGGTCCTTGTAACAAAAGTGTATTACACTGTGCTCCTTAGAGATATTCAAGTGCACTACAAAACTACAGAATAGGTGTATTAGTCTGTCTTTAGTAGTCTGTCTTTCTTACTTTAAAAAAAGAAACAAAATAATTCACCTAAACCATAATGTAAATGAAATTAACTTACAATTACATCATTATTTTAGTATTTTCCTATCCTATCTAACTATTAGAAAACCTGTGTCCAAAATCACTAAATATTATTTGTTTTGCCACGGAATAAATACAAATATTAGACCTATAACATTAGAATTAAATCGCTGACGATATACTGTCTTTACCACTTAATTAATCTTCTCAAAACTTTAAAGATTATGTGTAAGTAAACATCTTAGATCGCACCACAAGCGCTGTCTATACACTTCTTTGTGGCAGCTTTCTTGTCTTGTTGTGCCTAATTTAACATGATAACTGAATGACGTTTAAAACAACAACATCAATACAGTGTTGTTTTATTATTGAATATACTGATGTGACCGCTTCAAAAAGTCAATATCTAAATCACACTTTGTTGGCGTTGATGTGTTTTTTTAAATGTCACTTAGAAACATTTCGGAGTCAGACTTATCTGATATTGTATTTATATTTAATATGTAGTCATATGTCATGGAAATTATATATAAACTCCAATACACTAAGTAAAATATGGCTTCAATCTCATAAGGAATAGGAACAGTTGTAATAAAGAACTTATTAACTTGAAGTTGATATAACTTTAATTTATGTTTGTTTGAGAAATTTTGTAATGATGTTAGACCTATCAGTTATCTCAGTGTGAGTATGTCCCTTATTAGGAGAATCTACACTACAGTTACTATTGTATATCAAATCCTGATAAACTGCCACTTAAACTACTGGAGGTAAATGAAATTCTTACTTTTGTCGTATTTGCACAGTCGACTTGGATACTTAATCATCAGATATTAGATGTTTCTGTAAGTTTAGATCACTTTGGTCATTAGAGTCATAATGAATACTCAGTCTGTCAGTGCAGCGTGCGCGCCTCATGTAGACACCAGAAAGCCGCACAAGGTCGACACGCTACAATAAGGTAAGACAGGAGGCAGACCTTGACTCTCCTAAAAGCCCATAAAGACCTATTAGATGTCAGCGTGTAATTATATGACATAGCTGTCACGGGCGTAAGTCGATCGGGGTCACAACAAATCAATAGACGCACTTACTGTACTTTGTAGCGGAAGCGGCGCTCGAGAGAATGAACCGCTAAGTTTGTCCGTGTTGGAGCGAGTGCGTGGCTGGGAAAAGTGTGTGCCAAGTGAGTGCTACTTACTTCATTTCATGTGAAGAACGCACTGGGGGTGAAGGCAAAACAAGAGGGCCGCCCCACAGTTCGGTCCGGACGGATGACAGGAACCAAAAGAAGTCGCGCTGCTCTGAAGGGCGCGGGGAGGACTGGAGCCGCCACAGACGCACTTACAATCCAGGCGCGCAACTTACACCGCGAAGCCAAGCTGGGCCAAAAGTAAGCTGCGGAGCTCGCTATAGTTTGTCTGCTGCGTGAAAAGTCTGTGTTGTTGTGTCGCTGTCTGCCGCTCTCTCTCTCTCTCTCTCCCTCTGTGAGTGTGTGAGCGGTGTGGAGCTGGTGTGGACTGGTCGCCCCGGTGAGCGCTGCGCGGGGATTCGCTGTGCCTCGCTGAAGGTGGTGCTCTTCTTTAAACTGCGCCGGACGCCTCAGAGCTGGCGGAGATGTGTTCCTGTTCCACGCACAGTCCTGCTTCCTGACCCCACGCTGTATGTCTGGTGAGCCCCTCTCGTCTCTCCCCCGTGCTAGCAGAAGTAATCGATTTTTTTTCCTCTCTTTTTTTGGCTTCTGTAAAAAGGGGGCGGGCTAACATTTCTCAACTTAATGAAATAGGCACGGCCACTAATGCTTTTATTATGACTCCAGCACTCGAGCAGAGTGGACGCACAGACCGTGCGTGAGTTTGTAGCAACTTTAATTTACTTTTACGAATAATTTTCACACACATCTGTATGCTGTAATAAAAAAAAATACCTTTGACAGGCATGTGTCTTTTATGTTAACCCTTTAGGGGTATTTTCTGAAATGTAATGTAAAAAAAAAAAAAAAGGTGGAGCTCAGAAACTTCATGAAAGACAAAGGACTATTAAAGTCTATAACAAATATCAAAAACCATAAAAGAGATGTAAGGATAGGATAGGAAACGTGAGAAAGTATGAATTCGGGAGCTCATGTTTTCTTCTACTAAAGGGTTAATTCTAATTAAGTAAAAGGTAAACATATTCAGTGACTTTTGGAAGTCACTTTATAGTGCCATCAATCAGTTCACAAAACGGAACATATTTGCACTGATTTGTGTTTTTCAGGACAAGTGCTGTCTCCTTTCCCAGTTCCTATTGTCTCCAACCTCCTGCTGCATGCCGCCAATCACTCTCCAAGACTTGACTATCTCAAGATACAGATAAGCACTATACACAGGCAGAGACAGGCACCATGCATGGGGGGAAATTACCAGGCCTTTATCCGTCCAACCAAATGATTTTCAAAACACCCACTTGACTCTCACTGTGACAAGAACAATTAGAGCTGCAAGTTTGCCACTTCAGATAAGACCCCGGATATCTTAATATCTGGAGATGAGTTCTAGATAGAGTGTGTAATATGTCTATGTTCTGTTTACGATTATGAGGCAGAGAAACGAGCAAATTCCAAAAGACAAAAGCAATAATTAAAAGTTGTCCTGAGTGCCTATGTAAAAGAATGCAGTAGATCTACAGTTTTGTTAGAAGCTGGAATCTCTTCATTATCTGTTCATAATGGACTGTTAGTATCCCTGGACCCCCCCTGTTACACTGCTAATAAATTTGACTTGATGAATAAATCAAGCTGGCTAATCTTCTTGACGGATGCACGTTTCAGCCTTGTAACATGAGCTACTGGTGTCTAGTGACTCGGGATACCACCTTAACATCACCTGACCTTTTAATCTTTAATAGCATTTCCTCTGGCCCCTCTGATCCCTATAATAATCAATGCATGTTGTTTGTTTGACACGTCGGCCTCGGGATGACAAGATGGCACGTAAGAATAGCATCATATATCAGCAAAACAGGTTCACCTTTAGCGTGGCTGGAAAAGTGTCATTGGCATTGACACCTCCAGTAGATTTGCACTTACCACTTTCAGTCTTCCTTCTAGAGTCGTGTAGCTTTCTTTGTGTTCGCGAGTTGCGTGAGAGGTCCGCGCAGTGTTAGCGATGTCTTGAGGTTGTCTTGGTTGGCACCTGCAGGAAGTAACACATATAGGAGTATGAGAAGAGAGGAGATGAGTGGAGAACCTGCCAGCGAAATGGTAATTGCTCAAGCATAATGTACATCATGGACTTTTCATCTTCGTATAAGTGTGTGTTAAACAGCCATAGAAAATGCAAGGGAATAAAACGGGGGGAGGTGGACTGAATATATTTGAATGGTATAAAATCATTAAACGAGGAAAACATGGCCTCATGCATATTCATTCTTGAGTGTCTGACTTGTCTGCAGGGATGGACATGCTGAAGCTGTAGGGCACTGTTTCAGTGGAGATGCCTCTGCATGGCTTAATATGTTAGTGAGACCATGTGCCAAGTCAAGATTTTTGTTAGTGGCTGTAAATGAATTGCAATAGATTTGTTGTCAATAATTGTTAACTATTTTAGTCATCAAATAGTTGTTTACTGCTTTATTTGCAGGCTCCAAAAGATCTATATGCTTAAGAGTGTGACAGAGCAGTAAGAGAACATTTGAGTACCCTTAATAAGAAAATTAGAAATGTAAACATAAATAAGAGAATGAACAAGAAATACATACAATTTCAATTTGCAATTACATTTTAAAGACAAGACAAGTTTTTCAATTCAATTAAATTTTTTTGCATAAATTTGAAATGTTCTGCAGAGAACAAACACCATTTGTCCTAGTGAATTTAGCTACAACTGCATATCTGTCTTATTAACTACTCAATTAATCAAGTCAATAATTGCCAAATTGAATTGATTATCAAACACACATCCCTACTTCAGACTTTTTGATATTTAATCTTGAAACTACTTTATGCCACGGATGATCCCAAAAAAGCATTGTTTTAATTAGTTTGTTAGAGGTAATAAATATTGATCCCTATGATATTTAGATCAAACTACCATCTATTGAACAATAAGTCAACGTAGAAATAATTGTGACATAACACTTTAAAGACCAACAGTGCATATGTATATTTGTATTTAATAACCTTCTCGTCTGAATCCAAGTCAATCTGAAGTAAAGGTCACACAAGTGAACAGTATATTTTTAGTAGAATGATTATCACTATTCTTTGCTTTGTGTTACATATTAAAAAAAACATGAAATGCCTTATTAAGTTATATCGGCTATTTGGTTGTGTTTTCAAAAATATGAAGTGTGCAATACGTTGTGCATTAAGCTTCTCCAGCTGCATAATTTTCTTCCTCCCATCGTTTGCGACATAGAAGTGACCATATTTGACTACGAGCCTAGAATTAATGCCGTGATTAAACAGATTGTCTGGTTCACTGATCATGCTCAACCTGTCATCACAGTCCCTTCACAGCATGTGTCACACCAGAGCCCAAATGTTTTAAGGAAGGCAGTTCAGTCCTCCTCTCCAGTAACTAATAAACACAAACACGTTTCTTTGGCAAACAGGGCTGTGCGCAATCTGTCGTCAATCATGTGAAAAACCGTCTGCCTGTCACTTGTAGATGATTTTGTCAAGCCTCGCACTACTACTCTTGAGAATTATCCAACGATTATAGCCTCTCCTTGCAGTCTGTTCCTCTCGTTCCCTTGTTTTTGTCTCTGTTCCCGGATGAGTTGGTGAAGGATGCGTGGATGTGACAGCGGATTGATGTTACATGATGTGATTACCAAAGTCTTCACAGGGGGCAGCACTGGGGTCATGGGGCAATTAGAGTCACACGCCCAGCTGGAAGTCTATGGATCTGTTCTGCGCTTGTGGATCCAGCTAAGGAAGACGTGCTAATGGGGAAATCAATTCACTTTTCTTTTTAAAAAACGCTTTGACGCTGTGATGATTTTGAAGAGGAAAATGCAGTATTAACTGTCACTGGCTTTTGATTCTTATTAATAAGTCATAGGAGATGGTAATTGAATAATCAAGAAGTATATTAATAATTTAAATTATAATTGAAATCAGCGGCATTCTATGAAAAATCCAACAATTAATCAATGTAACATACCCTTTCTGAAATGCATGGGGTATTATCATTCAATATATTTCAATCTGAATTGGTTTAAAGATTGTGTTTTAAAACCTTTCTATTGTAACAAATTTAAACTAGTATAAGTCAACACCTTTTTGTTTTTATTTATTTGTTATCTAATAGTTTGATTTAGTCATTTATGTGAAGTCCTTTGAAACAATAGACTTGGTATAAAAATATTAACACCATATATGAGCTATAAAAAAAGGTTTATTTTTGTTCCTTGTGAACCATAGTGGTGTTATCCAATTCTGTTCTCACTACTGGCGTCTCACTACAAGACATTCTCCAGCAGAGTGGCATTTGGTCTTTGCATAAGTCATGTGATGTGTTATATTACTCACAATTGGAGCTCCGTATTAATAAGGTTCCTAATGAAACTCAGAGGGCAATATCATGTGTAATTACAGTTGCAGGAATTGTTCCAGTGTACAGTATAATTAGGGGAGCAAAGGTGGGAAATCACTTTTAATTAACTCATATGTACTCATATCGCAAAACGTAAAAACAAAGAATTCTCTGCGATCCTCCAGAGATTCTTATTTGTGCTTTCAAATGAGCTTTTCTAGTATTTGCCTGTATCTCTGAGCATATACGTTCGCTTTATTAGTCCGTGGGGAAGAAACTTGAATTCTTGAGTGTTGATCTAAAAAAAAAAATTAGATAATTTACCTCAGAACTTGATGAAATTAATAAACAATCACAAACCAGTGCCCATTTGTGCTGGTTTTTCTCCTCAAATGCAACGTTGCTGTGACTTGTGCATGTTTTTTGGAAGATGTCTACACCTATTTTAAGTCAAGGCCCTTTTCCCCAAAGTTGACTAAATCTCGCGGTTGTCAAAATGTTTCTCGCACCCTAATAACCTCTCTCTCATGTCAGGAAGAGAGAGCTGGTGATTTGCATGTGTTGTGTTTAACCAACAGGCTTCTGTCATACACCTTTGCTGAATAATTCATAAGGCACACGCCGAACAACAAGCTTTGCCTTTGTGCCGCCTGCCGCTCCCGTTACATCACAGGAGCAGCGCTGTGGTCCTCCCGCGCCGAGAACACAGCGTCGGCAGCAGCACCACACCTGTTGAACTTCTGGGTACATCACTATTAAGGCTTTGACATGTAAAGGGCGAAGGAGATATCCACGCATCCCACACGCACGGCACACAATGTCCTGATTAGTGACGCTTTGTTTACTCTATTATTTAGCCGCAATTTAGGGGTAGTTGCCCACTGCAAATTATTTATGATCATAAATATTTCAAATCAAAACACATCACGCAGCTATAATCTTACAAGCATTTGTTGTATTTTGTTGTAAGGGGGACAGTTTTATTTAACTGTGTTTGTCAAGTGGGGGGAAAGGGACCCAAAAGCTGGCTGTGGGATCATTTTTAGTGGGTTTCAAGTTCACATTTTGTCTCCAACTAAGTCACTAAAACTAAGATATCAAAATCTGAATCCACTAATTTAAAAACCACTGACCACATTATCTTATGGACAAAAACTTATTTTAATGATATTTCATTTAGTTGCTATGTAGTTGTATTCAAAGCTAATGGAACAATAATTTATGAACACCAAAATGTTCCATTATCGATAGACTAAGTTCAGTTGTTATCACAGTTTGGCATTATATATTCATGATGGGTCCCAACAAGTTCCAGTTGAGAACCACTATGATGCTTTAATGGTACACCAGTAAATACTTTAGGTTAAAGTTTACTTTGTTATTGTTGTTAAGTTTTTATATGTACATGTTGAGTGTAGTGCACAGGAAACCAAGCCCACTGTGCCCTGAGTGCTGTGTAATTTGGGGTGCTGCCTGTAGGGGTGCTCTGTATCCTTCTCAATGTACAGCTCACAAAGGATGTATTTTTGGTCATAGAATAAAGTCTATATACTTTAAAGTTGAATCTTGTTCCCCGTGTGCAGAGCTTTCCCTCAAGCTCCTATAGTATGTGGAAACTCTGCTGCTACATAAACATTGACATTAGAGGCCGGGGTATAGTTCAATGTAAAGATATAATCTCTACAAAACCTTATTCAATCGTTCCTATTGCAACTAAGTTTAAATTGAATTGTGGGTTTGATTCCTGCCTTTCTTTGTGGAGTTTGCATGTTCTTCTCATGTCTGCGCAGATTTCATCCAGGTGCTCCGGCTTCCCCTACCACTGATGTGTAATAGTAGTAGTTCAGAGTGAATAACTGTGTGTTCGTAACCACCATTGCTATAATTGAAGCAGTGGAAGAAATTACCAGTGCAATGGAACAAACAATAGAAAAATGGAAAAAACAAAACAACACAGTTTTGGCATCTTTGTTGACCTCTTAAAGAAAAAAAAAATATTTTGATACAATTAAACTCGTAAAACTTCAGAAATATGGTATCAGGGGTGTAGCAGGGATCTAGCAAAAGATAATCTGACATGCCATGTTTCTAAATACCTCAGCATCGCTCAGTCGTCCCCCAGGGATCAGTGTTGGGGCCCATGCTGTTAAATTTCTATCTTCATTATCTATTCATTGTGTCTCAGTCAATTCAATACACTTAAAACATTTTTTCAAAAATGATTTTCTATAGTATTTTGGACTGTAAAGGTACCAATCAACAATGTAAACGTTGAAGAAAAAGAATACAATAAAATAAGGTAAAAAATGATTTTTTTTAAATATTGATGGTATTCCAATTAAAAATCGTTCAACTTTCGGACTAATCATGTACAACACATGTGGAAGGCTCTGGACCTCCAACTTAAGCATTGCATTCTACAAACTCATGTTGGCTTGTACTCTACTTGTACTTCTGGTGTCTGTCTAATGCAGCTGTTTTTCAAGGTTTGTGGAGCGTAAATCCTGTCTGTGTTTGTAAACCTGTCAGTAACTGTAATTCAACAAAGCTCATTTGATGACTTATAATCATCACTTGTGATTCTAGACACAAACCATTGCTATGTATAGAATGTTATTTCCACACATTTTCAAGAATAAGTATAATCATTTTTTGTAGAATGTTCTTAAGGTACTATAAGTGATATTAAATATTCATGCTCTGAAAATGTTATTGATATTATGATTTGTGCTTATTTACCTGCTCTTATTATATGGTCGTAGAATGCTCCATTGATTTTAATGTAATTTCAAAACGTTCTACCGGGCATTATTTCTTCATAACAGACCTCTGAAACCATTAATGACTGCTGCCAATGGCAACACAATGTGTGCTTGTAATTCATGTGTGTCAGATCACTCTGCAAGTAGTTCGACCACTTCGTCAACGAGCTTTTAGAGACACGGCGCCTGTCACTACTTCTGTCTCTGCGAGAGAAGCTGGGGTAATCGCTCCTGAGGTTAACGGGACTCTGACTTACCCGGAGATGCACCACCATTCCTCATCTCCAACTGCACCTTCAACGGGAACGTCCAGTTTAATATAAATAAGTAGCTAGCCTAGCTGTTACTCGCCTAGCCACGCCACTGTGGCTACACTGCTGGGAAAACCTTTGGGAAATAATTTATTTGCAGTCATTAAATAAACCTTTCGGCATTCATAAAAGTGGACTGAAGTTCGTTGTGTGTGTTCAGTTGGCAGATAGCCATAAAATAAGCGGGATAATGTATCGAACACAGGTCATTATCGGTAAATACCTGCCTTATATACATAATCCCTTACAAAAATAACTTACAAAGTATAATAGTGGAAACGTTTTCTCAGTTTAGCTTAGTTAGCAGACTTGTTCATGATGCTAAGCCATATAAGTACACCATGAATCTTTGGGTTGCCTCATATGTTGAGTAAAAGTGATGATACATTTCCATACATCTGTTTCCTTGATCCAATGACTCTATCACACGCATCAGCCACTGTCACAGCTGCTGACCTCAGCCAATCCTCTTGACGATTAAAGATCACTTAGAATGCCCTTGCAAATTCTCCCACACTCTCAACAGGCAGCTGATCGCATCTTATTGTGAAGAAATGAAGTGTGCGCAGAGGCCCATAATGACTGCAGGCCTGTATTACTGCACAGTCTAAAGAGTTTTGCCTCCAGGATAACCCCGGCTCATTCTTATTCAGACACGATCAGAGGGGAAGCAGGCCGCCCAGATTAGCTGAAGATCAAAGAGATGCCTCGTGCCATTGCTCATGTTTTGTAGGTTTTAGGCAGACCTAGTAGGAGCTGGTTAGTGGCGGCACTGCGTCATACTGTGTACAGGCCTCGACGGAGCTTCAGGAGGAGATGGAAAGAGCTTTGCACACACACAAGATTAGGCAGCTGCTTGATAAATGCCAATGTTGAATAATGAAGATAGGAGATCAGCATGCCAGAGAACTTGCCTGGAGTAAAACATATTCAAAGTCGGCAGATAAATTAATGTAATGTTAAAATATGATTTATCTAAGCACGTTTTGATTAAATTCCTTAATTTTCTATAGGCAAACACAAACAAGTACAACCTGTCTTACAACCTCTATCTGAGAGGGCATGTTCAACCAGAAACATCCAGTTCCCATGCTGTATTTGACACCATGAAGAGTTAGCAGTTTGGATCACCTCGATAAATATATTTGTTATTATTCCTTTCTTTATCTAATATGGAAAATTAAATATGTTTACTGTAACAACATTGTTCAGTGACTGTGAATTACAAACAGACCAAGCTCCAATCATTTTCCAAGCTTCTTGATGTTGAAAATGTTAACCTAAATGTAAACTCAATCTCCTGAAAAGCAGCAGCTGGGACCTGACTCCTCCTGTTGGACACATGGAGTATTATGTCTAGTGTTGTTGACAAGCCAAAGGAAAATAAATAAATTAACCAGCACTGCATCGTTGATGCTTGTGTGCATGTTTTGGGTTTGCCACAAATATTATCTGTTCTGTGAGCAGTTTTTGGTTTAACATGTTGTATTATGAAAATAATCAACCTGTTTCCATTAACTTATAGTGACATAAATAGCTACAAAATGCATTATTATTAAAAAAGACTAAATTCTCTGCATAAAAAATACTGTAAAAACTCACCTGTGCCGTTTCAATACTTCTCCAGGAAGTTCCGACTCACAGCACCAGCTGAGGCCCGATTCTTAAAAAAATAAAACCAACAAATAAATGTCCTGCATTTACTAAAGCCAGACCAGCTGGCTTTCAATAGAAACACCCTGATTTGGGTTGAGTGTGTTTGCCCCCGATCTGTGTATGAAGTGAAACCAGGTCTGGTCCAGTCCAGCTCAATGCCCTCCCCACTGTCCCAGACTGGTCCACCTGCTCCAGTCACTCCTGTTAAAAATAGCCTCAAGGGGATCAGTGATCATACACACAAACATACACACAGCGCACACACACACCAGCACACACTCTTAGTCCTTTGTCAGCACTGTCCTGGATTATTGCCCCCACAAGAATGTTGCCATATGAACATCCAACTTGTTTACCATGTACACACATCTACCCATTTTCTCCTCCCCATTCGGGCCTGAGAAGTAGTCCAAGGAGGATCTAAAATATTTTTCAGTCAACCATAGAAGAGGGTGGGAATTTTAGTTTTTCCTTTTGGTTCCGCTCCCCTTTCACTACAACAGTCCCATACAGCAACCACATGTGTTTATTTTTGGTTGGGACAGTGAGTATTAATTGATAGTAAATACACCGGATTATAGCCTTGGACTAATTTCCATTTGTTGTCCGACAGTAGCACAAACTGACACTCATTCATCTGAAAAATTGTACATGTTTTTGGATAGGAAACCAATTCACCAATTAATCTATTATTGTATTGCTGCACCTTTATCTCACTTGTCAACAAGACTTTTCTTGAACTTCTCCACCTTCATCAACTGAAGAGGACAATTTCACTTTCTCAGGTCAAGAACCAATGCCTCTTATTTAGAGATCCACCCACCTGTTCCACACTATGTGAACTGAATGCAAAAGAGGGGCGGTGCTAAACATTGAAACTGAGAAAAACCTAGGAGAAATGGGTATAGCTCCTTTAAAACATCCGTCCGTACGTTTTCTTCCGCTTCATCCGTTGCCGGGTCGTGGGGGCTGCAGTCTAAGCAGAGACGCCCAGACTTCCCTATCCACACACACTTCCTCCAGCTCGTCCGGGGGGACCCCAAGGCGTTCCCAGGCCAGCTGAGAGACATAGTCCCTCCAGCGGGTCCTGGGTCTTCCCCGGGGCCTCCTCCCTTTTAAACATGTCTTCCCCAAATGAGGCTTCTCTAGGCCCCTGAACCTGGGGGACCAGACCGTGTTTGAAGACATGTCCAGAGTTGAACATAAAAAAGTGTGCTTACAAGTACAAGTTAGAAAGGATTTTTTTTTCCTTTTGCCACCTCAGGAAAATGACTTTTGCCACAACAGGTAACTAGCCCTGGTTTAACATAATGTGCTACTTCTGATGCACTGAACCCAAAGCAGATGATTGGTCAGAATCACAGATGTAATATTGGTTGAACGATGTTTATTGAGGTTATACAACTGGTCTGATTGCATACATGGATGTGAATTTGTGGTTTTGCATAAATTCATGCTGGGGAACCCAATCAGATGGCAGTTGACATGCAGATGAATCTAAAAGCAGCCTGCTCCTGCTTCTATGAACTCTTAGGACTGAGCACTAACTACTGTAGGCAGTAAGGAAGGTGAAGTTTGGGCATGGTCTGATTGGCTCTAAGTCCAGGTAGCGTAAACAAGTCTATGGCACTTAACGGCCCATGGGTGGCTTTATTTGTTAACAATTATTCAGAGGTTTCTGAACGGATATTGTTTTAACTTTACCAGGAAAATAAATTCCCAGAAAAAGCAACCTTCACTATGTGGTTTAAGAAGGACGTTTTATTCTGTGATATCTGTACATTACTTATCTAAACTCTGTACATTTTTATAACATTTTAAATATGAGTTTGTTTTGTTTTGTAGATGACAAAAATATATAAAAAGAGTTTTTGTAAACATGGGGGAAAGTGTTGAGCAGCAGAATTGCAAACGAGGACAGTGAGACTCATACAAGAGATCTGTTCTACATAAATGCTTGTTAAATGAAAATACATTTAACTTTTAACTTTACATATTAGTTTGAACTTGTTTTACTCAAGTAAAGATGTAGTTTGTACTTAGGATAAGTACTTTTACCACCTTGACAAGGAGGGGCGCCCACTTCCCATAAAAGTGCTACTTTATTTTTGCAGTAATTCAGTTGGTTTTGGGTGGCTTTGGTTTGTGTATGCTGTGTCAGCATTACCTCCAAATGAAAATATGAGTGTAAATGACTCCGAACCTTTTGACACATATTACAGATGATTTGTGTGAGGTGAGAGCCCATTATTGCTTTAACCTGCTGACTTATGTACTGGCCAAATGGACTGTTGCAAATAACACAGCATACACCCTGCCCTTTATCACGCATAGATGGTAATCAAGAATAAACATTAAAAAAGCTAATTTTACTGTGACTTCCATCATTGCAAAAATGAATCATTCTTGTATTACACAAACTAGAAACTTTTTTGTCTCCAAATATTTCTACCAACTTGTCTTCTGTCATCTCTAATTGTTTTTCCCCTATTAGTTAGACAGGGCGATTCGGGAAAACGGACACATTTGAGCTTTTGATTAATATGACTAAAATTTCCCAGAATGCATCTGCCAAATAAAATTCAGTAACGTTCCCTTGACACTGTGTTCACACACTAGTAAAATTACATTTATATTGATTTGCCTGTATTGTTTTCATGTCGTGGGCTACAGACAATGAAGTATTTTGGGAAAAGCCTCTCCTACCTGCTCCACTGCTCTTCAATGAGGTTACAAACACGTGACATCATGGACAGGAATGTTCCGGTTTCTGGGTGAGGGTGGACGAATCCCGGCAGCGAGTAAGTGAGTTATGAGTGAGAGGTCAGGAAACACCAATAACTATGATCAATGATTGTTGTTGCTTATTAACCCGAGCCCATATGATGTGTGTGAGAGGGCTATTGTTCTTCCTCATGTTCTTCCCAAACTATCCACCGATCCAAGTCTAAAGTTAATAGGGAGCACAACACAAAAAAGAACAGGAAGATGGCCATTTTGACTTACAATGTCAATAAAGGCAGGCTTCTGTTGTGGCAGCTGTGAGTCTACACTGGCATTTTCAGTGGCAGCTAGAAGTTTAGTGGCATTATCAGTGGATATGCATTGACACTGTACAAACCCACCACCAGTAAAACATATAGCTACCACTAAAAAATGCCACTAAACCTCTAGCTGCCACTGAGGTTGCTGATTCCATGCCATATACCTTTCCCATATTATTTAATGGCATACTGCATGTGAATAGAGAAGGGTGCAGAGAAACAGATAGAAAGGCTACATAAGAGAGTCCAAACAGATCCGCGGAGTGGCGAGGGCTTTTATCACCACTTGCGGATTTAATGTTGTTGATGTAGTTTTATCTGCCCCAGTACACAGGCGTATTTATATTTTTTTTATTTAATTGCCGCTGGGAATAAATAAAGTTAAATGATGAATGGATTGATCAATTAGTCAACAGATTCATTATCAGAATCTCAGAAACCCATGCAGCTACCTCAAACTTTGTATTTGACCTTTGAAAACCGCCACACATAGAAGGCCTTTTAAATGTTTTTTTCTCCATCCTTGTAGTTGAATGCATTATGGTAAATAACCTGTACAGAGGAATTTGTTTTATTTTGTTCTTTGTATTGCTTTTAGTGCACAGCATGCCTGTCTGGCCTGCCCTGCTCTGCACACAAGGTCCCTCTGTGTGAATTTGGCCTCTCAGAATGGAGCGCATACCTCTCTGCCCCACCGCTCCACTGTTTATCAAGCTGCTGATTTAAGACCACTGCTCAAGTATACCCTTAACCTTTATTTCATCGAGAATCAGCTCCAATGAAGAACGATGTGAAGTGCTGACTTTTAATCAGATAAATACAAGCAAAGGCCTTAACCCGATCCACTCCGACGGTGGATTAGCGAGGGTTGAGTAAACTCGTCTTTTCTGCGTCGTGTTGGTTTTAGAGGCCCGCAGAGGCAATATCTGATCAAATGAAGAAAAAAAAAGTGGCTGTAGTGATGGAGAGACATGGAGAGCGAGTGAGAGAGAATAGCTGATGAAGACATTGCCATAAGAAGTGAGTAAGTGTGCACCCCTATTCCAAAAACAATATTTGGACTGAAACCTTAGCCTCTCCATCTGGCTCTTTTGAAGGGCGGATTTTGACTGCTGCTTTGGCTAATGCTGCTCCACACTGTTCCTTCTGTAAGTCTAATTTCATTTCTGAAGTAAAATGTTCTTACCTGAGCACGCTAATGCAGCTGTGGGGAGTTTCTGACCTGTCATTGATGTGCGATGTAGAATAACTCAAAAATGTCAATGGAAACAATACATTTTTCAACTCACTGCAACTATGTTTTATATTTATATCAAAATATTACGAATTTTAAAGACATTTTGTTTACATTTTGTATCCAATCATTACCTTGATATAACTGTGATTATATCGTATTATGCCGCTCTGTTTGGTGCAGGGATATCAAGGTCAGAATCTGTGGTTTACTTCAGATTTAAGCACAAAGACGACATGAACCTGGGCCCTTTTTTCCCTTCGCTGCGGACGCAAGCACAATGCGTTTTCATGTGACCATGGTAACCAGCCACAGCACTTAACTCTGCAATCTTCATTATTTCCTCCTCCGACCAGAGCATGTGGATGTGTGGTTAAAATGGTCAATATCAATATTTTGTTGAAGCTAGAGGCCCAGTGATGAGTGTGATGAGCTTCTGAACCAATTACAATATAACATGTGGATTCATTGTGCATATTACACTCTCTAAATCTGTTTCAAGACTGGTTGGAGTACCAGCTGGTGATTTTGAGAAGCTGAAGTTCTGAAGTTCTGGCCACTGATGACTCAGTTATAATAATAATACATTTAAATTAAAAAGGAGGGTATAGCTGGTGTCTAGGGCTGGGATTTAAGAGACTGTACAATGACCACCTGTGGGTTTAACATTTCCCCAGCTGAAGAAAATGTCACTGAAAACGAGATGTAGGCCAAACGATTCCTAGTATTTTTGGACAATATCTATTTGTGAGTTTGGAGTTCCAAATGGTCTTGATTCTTTTCAGGGAATGTGTTACTTTGATGTGTGTAGTTCAGCGATTGGAGTAAAAATCCAGACGGTCTAGGACTTACTGTTTTACTCAGGCACTGTGCATGTTGTGTTTATTTTCTATCAACATTGTTACTGTACGTCAGATATTTAAAGCTGGAGAACTCAACTTTCATTGCATTCATGTATTTTTTTCCTTTCCCATCTTTAGATCAGCTTTTTTAGAAAAAATCCGCTCTCAGCCCAAAGCATCAAATAAGTCACATACTAAAAACGAATTACTACTTGCACTAGAGTACAGTGGTTCGTTTAAGGTAAAGATAGAGATTATAAGTTATTGTATTTTATTTTTAAAGTATAGAGTTGTGCTATACTTAATACCTTGTGTTGTGTGTTGTTCATTCCTACTGTTCTTTAACTTGCAACACTGAGAATTCCCCACTGTGGAACAAATAAAAGATCTCTTAAATTTTGTTCTTAAAAGCAATAACATGTTTTCTAATGAGATGATGTTCTCTGATTAGTCTGTTTTTTGCATTTTATTGGGTCAAACAACATTTCTTTAAGATGATTGGTAACCCAGCCTTCACAGAGTCTATGAACATACTTTTTTTTTGTATTATTATTAAAGACAACATTCAACAAGAACACAACCCAAAAAAAAAAGACCAAAAGTATAGCCCCAAGCAGAACAAACATAACACAAAGACAAGAAGACAATCAAAACAAATAAAAATAAAAATACATTCAAATAATTGTTAATAGTTAAAATAGTGAATATGTTTACAATTAACATGACATACTGTATGAGGTTGAATATATAATTTTCCAACAATCTCGAAACATCTCGAAACGTTCTCAATCCAAATAGAAAGCAGCATATTCACGTAATATCAAACTGGGGGGAAAGCATAATAAAACAAACGGATGACATAACAAATCAAAGTGAATAAGCCCGGCAGCGTGTGTAGCCTCCTTGTAGCGGAGTCCAGGACTTTGATGCCCAGTGAAAACAGAGAGGGGCCGCAGGTTTAGGGTGTAGTCCACCTCTTCTGTCAGCTGCGTTTAACATGACACAACACAAGACTGAGTCACAGCACAGAGATAGACAGCTTCTCACTGCATCAGGGGAAAAAGTCATAAGTCAGTTGTTTCATTGTGGCCGGTACAGTAGGCCTGCCACGCATACAGCCGCACAGTAGCCTTAAACTTGTTTGAAGTGGCCTGTGGAGCTTTGATGAAACTGTCTGGTCTATGGTACTGTGCAGCCCAAGTGTAATGTAAGTGTTATATTTGCATAGTGTGTAAGTCTTTCATGTGTAATGGCCACTTGTTTGGACTGCTTGATGTCTTACAGGTGAGAGTCACACGAAAGGCCATATTAGATTATTTGATCATGGAAAAATCGTGAATAATCAGGATGCACTGTATATGAAATCACTATTTGTGTGTTTTGCCTTGAAGTACTATGCTTTAGTTTTAAAACACACAGATTGTTCTATTCATTTTAAAATAACTATTGTTTGTATTTGAGTAATTCTTTGAGCATTGGTAAGTAACACAAAATACTGTTTTAACTCTTTAGGCATCAAATAATTGCTGCTTGCTTGAAGACATATGCAGCCTGGCCTATGTAATATAGTGTCCAAATAGTTTCGTAAATATTTGTTTTTATCTATGTACTTATGTTTAGTAGTTCTAAATCATTTTTTTGTTTCACATGATGTTTCTAACAAAGCTGCCACATAGGGCGTTCCAACTTTGCTTTCAATTTTCAATGGGTAAATCAAACACTTTTTTTCGATACATATTATTATTATAACACTTTAACTGTCCTTATTTATGTCAGGAAAGCTCAACCAGGGACCAGAGTTGAGTTTTATCATTACACTTGTTATGCATATTTTTCTGTAATTGTATAACTGCATTGTTCCTGCCAAATGAATAAATATATAAAATCAATTTGATGACATAGATCCTCTTAAGTTTTACATGTGATTACTTGCACAACGCTATACCTATCCATAGCCATAGAATAGGCTTGTTTCTATAAGTGAATGCACAGGCTCACACATGCAGAGAGAGAGAGCCATCAGCACCTGTCAACAGCACTAATCATTTCAAAGCGTTTCTCCGCTCCACGCCCTCCATGTTGTACACTGCAGAATAATCTTTTCAACGTCCCCCCAATCAGCCCTTTTTGCCATCTTCAATTACACCTTTCCACTTGTACATTTGTATAATTTTCTAATCGAGTCGGGGCGTGGAGCTGTCAGATGTGCCAGATAAAGAAGCAGAGCACCAGGCCAGACTGACACGCGGATCCACCAAGATGGAGAAGCTCTGGGCCGCTCTATATGTTGCCTGGAAGTTCCCTATAGCTACATGTGGCTCCAAACTATTCAGAAAATAAGTTCACCAGGATAAACATTTTGAGTTCCAGTATGTGAAGTTTCCTCAAATAACTATTGAGGGAAACGGTAGGTTGATACTACCTGCTTTCTGACCTAGTCTCTTTGCAGAGGCGTGTCAAGTGGAAATAAAAATCAGGTTTCTCGCCAGCGTTTTCTGGCACTGGACTTTATTCCTAATTATCCCTTAAACATTTGTTGTTGTTTGCCTCAAGTTGGTCTGATTAATTAAATTCGTTTCTATAATCAACTTTGTCAAAAACTGTCATATAAAGGTTCCTTTTCCACTGCTCTCATTTGGACTGAAAGCTGTGTCACTGCTGTTAGCAACTTCAGCCGTGACCAGCGCACCTCGCTGCAGATGCCAGTGAATGTTGTGACATCCGCACCAGCGCTGGCTCCTGATGTCAGTTCAAAGCAGGTGCAAAACACTTTCCCTGCAGATAGAAACAGGTTATCATCAAACTTTTTTGTTTGTTTTGCTTCTCTCTGTTAATCAATGACTCCCGTACACGATCATTACATCGACAGTTGCATATTATTAATTAAAAAATAACACATATTTTGCGAGCAACTCGCCTTTATTTCTCCCTTTTTCGTTACGGGTTGAAATGCCGTGTTAACCCGGTACAGAAAAAATGCAGGTGGAAAAGCCAAACAAATGATTTGTGTTGATAGTGCTCCTACATCTTAGACAGAATCCAAAAGAGAAAATAAAATACATTGCTTTTTTCAAATAGTGAACATTCAAGGGTAAGGCACATTTTGACACCAATATGAAGGACCTGAAAATGTTCACGTTGTCTGTAATTGTTTACTCTTTGTATGTTCTTGAACTGTGTATTCAATATAAAACTGTGATGTGGATGAGTCTTGGCCAGGACACCCTTGGATCACCCTTACATATACAAACATATTTTACTAACAGTTTATTGTTCTATAATGGGCGCTGAAATGTCCCCATTTTGGGACACATACAGGTTTCCTGATCTTATCTTTTTGCATGACATACATTGTCTAGATATGCCTGGATGGAGAAGAAGGTCAAGACACCATGCTGATGTATTTGTGCAGAAAAGGGGTCTGCACACTGGCTTCTTATTGTAGCCCGAACCAATTACCTGTAAGTTTTGTGGAGCCCAGGTGGCAAAGTATAGATTTGGAGTAATTTTCCTAGTCCTTTAATGGAGGCACTGGAGAGAAAAAGCTTTTTTAAAGGCCAGTGTGGTTGGTTTTTGCGTCGGAGTAGATGGATTTGAAGTGGAGCACTGATGCATCTCCCATTTACAGTGTTTGGGATAAAGTGCTCAACTCTGCACTCCTCATGTTCTGAGGTAAACCAACAGGGGAAAGGTTTTTTTATTCTTCATGTCTGTAATTAATAATTCTTGATTGGACTTGCATGCTTTGGTCACTTTATTAATGACAGTAGAAATAGGTAAATCGCTCAAAAATATAAGATTTTTGCAGAAAAAACGACTTTGCGTTAGCAGCAGCGGGCCACATGCAATGACACCGAGGGCAGAAAATAGTTAGATTGGACACCCCTGGTTTAGATGAAACTGTCCAACTGTCTCAAAACCACATCCTTCAGTTCGGCCAATAATTAATTGGTCATATTGCAACAATTTCAACTATTCTGACTTTAAAACAGGGTATCTGTAACAATGTGTGTGTCCCAACAGAGAGGGTGAACAAAGTAGACCACAATGCTGCCTTCATCTTATTAGAAAACATATTATCTTTGTGTATACTTGAGAGAAAGAGCCACGTTAGTCAGTATGTCTCTCTTTGGGCTGAGAGCTGATTGGCAAA